ATTTTGTTCAATAAAGGGTCATATTTTTGAGGAAAAAACGGCGGAAGCAAAGTTGTATACCTTGTAGCTGAAACAAAATTTAAACTATGTTAGGAATTGATATTCTCTAAATGTTGTGTTTCTGAAGAATTTGGACTTATTTGTAGTAAAGTTTCGAACACTTACAGCTATTTCTCAAGGCAGACAATTTCAATGGAAAATTGAGACCAAGAGAGACTCATCTCTCAAAATTTAAAAAAAAGAGTGTAGTATATAGTTAAATAAAGAATGCATTTGCTTTAATTTTACTAATTGTAATGCAATCATTTTATGATGTGACATTAAATATTAATAAAAATATTTGTAATACAAGAACTGAAGTATATAATAAATGGAAAATCTAAATTCTTAATAGCAGTTATCTCTCATTGTGACCTGTGTAAAAACTATTTAATTGTTTTTATTTATTGCTCAATAAAAATATTTTTGTGAAAAAACTCAATTAGTTTGTTACTTATTTCATTGAAGTTAAGTATTATTTGACCTTCCCTAACCACAATAAATACCATTAAATAAATTAATATATAGTGGTGTTATTTATTAAAAATATTGGGAAGTAAAGCCTAAGAAATTCATTCAAGATTTTGAAGACAAATTCAAAGACTTAAAATAACTGGAATTTTTTTGCAATTATGGTATTCCTTACTGTGACATAATTGCATTATAATAACAATTCTATAAATTTGATTTTCCCCCCTTTTTTTAAACTACTGATGTTATTCCAGTCTATTCCACTTCCAGGCCTAGCACCAGCCCTGTTTATTGGTGTTGTGGATGGATTTTTTGAAGCTGGACATACTTGGGAGCGTTTGGATGAAATGAAATTTTCTTGAAAGTGATTCAGATGTATGATTCTGTCTTTTCAGCTTTAATTACTATTTGTATTAATGACAGTCATTCATAATCATAAATTACTGGTAGTACACATGCTTGAAGTGCATCTTCAAATACCATCGTACACATTGGAACATGTTATATTCAGAAATTGAGCATTCTCTGCTGTGTTTGATGAAGAGAGACATTCATGGGAGACCCTTCTAGTTTATAGTTTGCAATGTAATTATTAAAATTGTACCATTTCAGATGCTGGGTGAGTCTGTGCTACTGTATATTGTAAAACCACCAAGTAGTTTTCAACCCTAACTAATATTCAGAAAGAATGCTATTTCTCCTTCATTGTTTTATTTGTTTCCAGAGGCATGTACCACAAGAGAAACATGCCTAGTCAAAAGTAATGAATTATTTTTTGTGTTATATTTTTGGCAATTAAAGAAAAACTTGAGTTTGTGAGTAAAATAATTGTTTTTTCAATCAAGGTTAAAAGCTTGTTTGGCATTGTTTTTGTTGGTTAGGTTACATCAAATGAATTTAATTGATAATTGAAATGAATTGATTGAAAATGATCCATTTATGCATTGACAAGAACAATCAGAATTTCCACTGAGAAATTTGATCCATCATGTTTTCATACAAAATATTAGTTTGCATTTCATTATTAAGGATAAAAATTAAAATCAATTTTTTTATGTTCCCGGTGATCCATTATTATGATGTAGATAGGCCTTAAATTGCATTCCTAGAAACATCAAATTGTTTTTTTTTGTAAGTCCACATAGTTCCATTGGGTTTCCCATAATCATAATCTTTCAATTTTACATTTTATGTAAATGTCAATCTTCAGTGTCCATATTAGCCTGAAAGTTTCTTGTCCATGCACTGAAACTCAATTTATAACACATTCTTCCCTTTCTGCTTCTTTGTTTCATAAAGGATGTAAGGGGAGGTAAAATAGGTAATACTGTAGAAAACTTATTTTAATTATAGAAACAATTGTATGTATTTAAACATTTTGATAGTATAAATATAAAAAATATTTTTTAACATGTAAACTTTTAATGAATTGTTTTTAGAAATTTGAAAATAAATATCTTTTTTTTAAATCAGTAAACAAGAGTGACATCAAAAACAAAAGACGCTTTAGGTCAATAACATGTAAAAGTTATACTTGCCAGCACATCCAAAAGTACTTTGTATCAGTTTAGGCATTCAGTACTCAGAATAATTCTCACATTTTCTTAGAACTTCACATCAGCTACTTTAGATTACTTTTAAAGGGCACAGTTGAAAACAACTATTGGCTTTGCAACAACCAGAACTTTCTTATAGGAATTTGAGGGCTGAAACAAATCAATGACTTTATGTTGATGACACACTAATATTCATAAAGACAAATCATTCAGATACATATATCAATTTAAAAATGAGAAAACTTCACAAAAATTTCATTACAGATTAACATAAATAAGAAAGATTAAAAATTGTTTGAAGTATGGCACACATTCAGGAGATTTACTGTAATAAATTATCTTCTCTGTGCAATAAAATATAGATTATAATACTTTAAATAATAAAGAAGAAAAAGATAAGATGGGTAATGGTTTTGTTTAACTTACTATTAGATAAAAAATGATTATTTTCACAAAAATTAACCTATTTTTCAACTCAATCTAGTAAATTCAGAAATTATGATATATTATAATGCTAAAGATTTATGTTAGTCAATTAATGATTTTTTTATTACATTATTGGTAAAATTGAAACGAATAATACTTTAAATATTTTCAAAATGAGTTTCCAATTTTTTCTTCTCGGTATATATTCTTTTAAATTTTGTAACTAGAATTTAATTTGATTTAGCGTATGTGCTTAGAAAATCACCTTTCTAATGACAATTATATACTCCTTAATCCTAAAGAAAACTAGCATCAACTTCAATATAATTACATCTAATAAAAAAGTAAACAAAAATTATAATATGCAAAAACAACTTAAGTCAATTCAATATTTCTGATGACTAATAAACCAAAATGGTATTCTCCCATTTTGGTATAATACATATATACCAAATATATCATATCTACTAAGTATCAAGTATCGGTTAAGTGGTGGTAAAAAACATTTTCTCTGCTTCCCTAAGCATTCAATTCAACTTGCAAGTCTAGTACATAGTTACAAGACTATATAGCTGTTTGTTCCTTCCTTGAACATTTAGTGGTCTTTCTCTTAACACGAATAAAATGTGTACTCTTCATATCCTTGTTTAATCTCTGCAAATTCTTGAAAATATTAATTTGCTATTTCACAGTTTAATTTTCTACTTGAATTGCATTGCTTGAAAAGTAAAAGTAAGATTTATTTTCCTTTCATTTATAAGTGACGAAAGAAAATTGTCTTCAACACTCCATAATACTCTTTTTACAGTAGCTTTCAAAGTAAATTTCATTGTTTATCTGATATGATCTTCTGGGATAATTGTTATATTTAATATGTTATTTTTTCTTTTAATATTTATTTTATTTCTTCAATTGTTAATCTGCTTTGTTCTTCTGGTCTGATATATCTAATATGTACTTTTTTCTCCTAAGATTGAAGTTTACTGTATCTCTTGCTGATATATTTCACGAGAGATTAATTTTTTCTTCAATATTGACAGACATTTAGGAGACCAGTATTCACAAATACTTCCACTCATTAAAAAATTACATACATGCAACAAACACAAACAGTATCAAGCATTACAACATCAAAAGCTATATGCAACATACAAAACATTCTCAGACTCCTGATGTTTCAAACAATATCAAATTAATATACGCTCATCCATCATTTCTGACCATTAAAACAGAATTGGAAAATTAAGAAATTGCGAATATTTGCTGACTTTCTAATTTATGAATTTCTATTGGAAATTTGTTAAGAGAATTGGAATGAATAAATAATAATAATAATAATAATAATAATAATAATAATAATAATAATAATAATAATGATAATAGTTAGGTAGAGGATTTTTATGCCCCCAAAAATCTGAAATATACACTTTAATATGCAATTAAAATTATCAATATTTCATTTCCTGTATGAATCTTTCTTGATAAAATTTTGGAGAAGCTTACTTGGAATGAAAAGATATATTTTTGAACATACGTAAAATAACCTAGCTTACTTTGTGGGAGAATAATTGAAGTAAATATGCATCTTAGTGAAGTACATTGTATGCCTTGTTTCATTTTTTACTTTCTTGTATATACATACATATTTTTCTTTCTGTTTAAAAAAATATATCATGAAATATCGTACATTTGCACATTTTTAAATATGCTCCTATTTTTACACGTATATGCACCAACACAAAAAATTGACCAAATGTGTATTAATATGCACTAACGTAGCATCCAATTCTAACTAAAAGTCAAAAAATTTCACTTAGCTATGCCCTGAAGCAATAATCAAAATTATGCAAAATCCCTCCCTAATGATGATGATGATCCTCACATGCAGTATTCTGTTGAGATCAAAATATTTTGTAAACTTAATTCACTGATTATTTAAAAATTGTTTTAAATGGATAAGATGTTTTAGTAGTTAATTGTTAATTAATATATTAAATTGTTAATCAAAATACAACAGAATTTCCCACAGATTAAAAAAAAAAAATTAACTGTCAGTCTCACCTGTCTTACCAAATTAAAGAAGAAATACACAGATCTTCTCAGGCCAAGCGAGTGATCCCAATCTCTTTCCAACTGTGTTCAGTATAAAGCTGTGTCATAATGAAAATCTTGATTGAAGGAAAATTTACATGGGAAAAAAACTTGACACATCAAAAATATAAATTTCAAAGCTATTTTAGATTTTACACATTAGTTTCTAAATTAATTTGAATGTAAATTGATAGTAAATGTGTATTTTGTGTATTGATTGTAATAATGTTCCAACAAATTTACTTGAATAAATAAATTAAAAGTTAAATTGATCTACTTCTTTGATTAAATTTTGAAAGTGGCTGTTTCCCAAATGAAACTGCCATATGATTACAAATTTTCATAGTTCTATTTTAATGGACGTAATAATTCACAAACATTCAAGAAACAAAGAAAGCAAACACAGCATACAAAATTGTTTTCCCATCCAAAGCAACTGTTTAATCAACAAAATACACTCAAAGACAATAAAGGACATTTCTATTAGCAATTACACATCAAAATAAAAAAGGCACATAATGAGGCAATGGCTTGAACACTTTATAATTAAAAAGAATATGAAGCTATGAATTTCCTGGCTTTTATCTGCATTAATATGAAATATGCTACTTCAAAAAGTCTCAACATCCCTTAGACACAAATTATCTATTACCAGTTAAGATTCTGGTAAGCAAGCCACATATTTAAGTACAAGTTAATCAAAACTTGTCCGAGGTGAATGTGAAAATTTTACTCGTAGAAAGAAAAAATACTTGTGCCTCACAATTAAAAACACATTGCATAAAAAAAGAATATTTTCAAGGATAGCACTCACATTCATTGACAGAAATATTGCTTAAAATTTCCTGAATAAAAAAGGGAAACTTGGTGACAGGTTGAAAGAAAGTAGATCTAGTGAAATTTCGCAGATTATCTTGATTGTAAATGAAAGCTTGGGTACATCACTAAATTATTCAAATAAAATCATAACTTAAAGAGAGTTTTGCAATTTATTTATTTTACAAATTTGTATGATAAGGTAAAATGTCATGTGTTATTTGATGAACATGTACATAATAGCATTTTATCTTTCAATGAACATTATTTAAATGATTTGCATATTATGACATCAGACTCAGTTATACAATATCTGGCCAAAACTATGTGTTAAAAGCAAGTTTTTTTTGCACCTCATAACGCTATGAAACAAGTATTGAACATCTCTGTGGCTATGTGTTATTTCTTTACTCTTTAGCCTGGCACTTATAATCATGTTTGCAATTTTTGCAAAATATGACAGTTTAAGGGAGGCATTTTTGTTCCAATATGCTATTAATGGCACCTTTTTGGAAGCAGACATCTCAGACACAAGAGGGAAAAATCAGGAAGCTGCACTTTAAAACATGTTAGTGCCAAAGTTCTATATTACATAAATAAGTTATGGGTATACAGCTTTTCGATAAGAAATATTACATTATGGTCGTTATGGATTTCTTTGTTGAAATCTACCAGAATAGATATAGAACTAACTGTACAATAATTAATTTCTGCAGAATGATTTGAATACCATAAACCCTACAGGAATTTTATAACATGCTTACAAGAAAGTGTATATTGTTCATGTTTCATAATCTATTACATCAATTATTACAGGGGATAATAGATTTTTAATTTTTCCACTGATACAGAACAACAAAGGGCAATTGGTGCACATTCTTAGCCCAGTGTTTAATGAACATTCTTGAGATCTAAGATGTAAAATAAAGAAATAACACTGCATATACATTGTTAAGTGGAAAATCTGAAACAGGATGTGAAGAATGACAATGTATTATTTTTCAATTGTATTCTAAATACAAATGACTTCAAAGGGATGTGTATAAACATTTATTCTACTTTACCGCATTACAATTTTACATTCCTAAACTTTACACTTAACAAAAATAAAAATAATGTGGGGATGGTTGAACAAAATGTTTGCTACATGTGTTCATTTTTTATTTGTATCAAAACTTCCTGACATTTTGTGCTGCCATACTGCAATCTGCAGCAGTCTCACCAATTATGAACTCAATGTATATAACACAGAGAAAAGTCTCATTTGTTTTTAAAGCTATGAAATGCTACAGGCAAGTGGCAATCTCTTGCAGTCTCAACACATTATTTGTAAGCAGCCTCACTTTTTAAAAAAAGATGCACATATTCACAATGCGTAGACATTTCAACGATATTGATATTAATATGATGATGAATCAATAACAAATCTATGCAACTGCAAAACATTTTTATTGGATTTGTGACTGAATTTTTAATATTTTAAAATGTTAAATATATAAATGAGCTGATAAGCTTTTGAGCCATGATTTTATGCATTAAAATGAAAACTTTTAGTTTGAACTTAAAAATGCATCCTTTCAAACAGGTGCTGCAAAGAACAAATCATCCATTGAAAGATTATATTCTAACTTCAAAAACCTTTCATATGATAGATAAAGAATGCAGCCAGTGACTACATAAAATTTCAAAACATTTTAAAATTAAGATACATTACTATGTACAATACAAGAAATATGATAAAAATTCATCAAAACAATTTATTTATAAATGAAATCTCAAGATATTTAGGAATACTAAGAAGTTGGTGCTTCATTAACTCATGCATACAGAACATCAGACATCTAAAATAACAAGACAGTACATTCAATATAGAAAGATATTTCATTTATAAGACAGTCACATCATGTAAAAGGGAAATTTCCATCATTTCATGTCCTGCATCCAGTCTTAACATTTTCTGTTTGACCGCAGTAAGAAGCAATAACATAGAAAAGTGCACCAACTAGTCACCTCTGTGCCAGAAATTGTTTTACATTTACAATTTAAGTTTCACAAAAGATACAAAGAAAACAGTATATACAATATCAATATTACACAGTAAAACATTCTAGAACTCACTATTTAAATTGATCAAAAAATTACTGTAACTAACTTTCTTTTAGAAATTATTTAAACATTAAAGAAAATGAAAATAACGTGTTTATGGTCTATATTGATGAAATAAATATTCAGACTAAATACTGAAGGTGAGAAATATTTAAGTTGTGCTTCTTCCTTGAACACTTTGTCATGTTCAGTATGCAATTTAGAAGAATTATCAAGAGAATGCAAAGTTAATAATAAACCACATAAAATGATAATAAAAATTAAAACAAAGTACACAGCACATTTTAAATATGCATGTTTCCTAGTTTTGTAATATAGTACTTAAAAAGAAAGTTAATCCTAACTATGTGACTTATTTGAATGCAAATGTATCAGATTCACACCACTTGCAATAGAGCTCTTGCAGGACTTTTTATCATATGTAGTAGAAAAAACAATTTTCATTTTACACTTCACGTACATGATCTTGATAAAGGATGACCAGTACACTTTTAATAAATAAAAAGTAGTTTCCTTTGTGAGTAGTAACACTTATGAGTTCTAGTCTGTTTTAACGCCTCCCATGCTGCCATTTAGTTAATTGATTACTGTTACGTTTTTTGTATAAATGCCATTTGCCGCACCATATTTTTCATGTATACTGCAACAACATGTTTAGTTAGGAAAGTAACAGTGAGCAACAGATCTTACAATCTACTCTACAAAAATGAAAAATCTTTCAAATGCAATGGCAACAGCCAAGACGGAAATTTTATTGGCCTGTGGCAGTATCAAGAATACATTATTAGCTATAAGTTCCAATTCTTTGAAAGGAATGAAGCTTAGGTAACACATGAATTTATTTAATCAGTAAAAATTAATATAAACTATATAGTCAAATTTTGTTAAATCAAGTGTATCATTTTTATACAAATCAAAATGTCCATCCTTCCTGAGAAATTGTATAGCTTGGTTATCATTCCAGCACAATTTCTAGAAGAATGGCTCTTGAAGCTATGTTTAAATGCTGTATAATGGCAATCACTCAGTTGCAACAATTCAGACAGGGATTCAATGTAACGGTCAAAATCACATCACTATTGTTACATATTGGCAAGTGGTATTAAAAAAATATGGATACACACACTCTGTTCTCACTCAATGTAAAAATATCATTAACATACAGTACGCAGCGAGATTTTATTCAGGTGGAAACAATCCTAATTGTACATGGATTTTTAATTATTTATATAATGGGTATACAAATTGAGTTACCAGTGGAGAATCCATATTCCAGAATATGGACCTTTCCTTATGTTAAATGTTCCCCATTTGAAATATTTGCAAAAAGTTGTGGCAGATATAGCTTGTATGAAATTAGCTTAGTTCCAGAAGCCTTATGAATAATACAGTGAAGAATCTCTGGACTCGGGACTACTTCCAGATACATACAGTAATGTCATATGCTGCTTGCCGTACCGCATTCATGTTTCAAGCCATGTCTCGATTCACTTTACAGTTCTAGCACACTGACGAACACCACTCTCTGACATCACACGAGGACTGGGTATCATTGCCTTTCCTAAATTCCTGATTTTGTTAAGTTGTAGGCAACAACTTACAAAATATTTACACACCTGTCTAATGTTTGTATTGTGCAGGTTTTATTTAACACACATAAATCATTTATATATCTCCATACACAACAGTGTTGAGTCTTTTCAATCCACTGGGCAATAAAAGGAAGTACCTGTGTTTACCATTCTTTGCAAAATGCCTGCTCATCTTTTGAATCATACATTCCTATATATAAATGCTATTCCTATAACAACTGTTATTTACGATGTGATGATTTTCCGGTTGCAGAATGGAAAGAAATTACAAAGTGAGTGTTGGCAACACATTCAAGGATGAACGCAACAGGTTAATCAAGCTGAATAACTGGTTTAAAAACACCAAGTACTCAGTAAATTGCATGTTTTGATATGTCTTTAGTCTAACTTCAAAAGCGATCATATGTATCTGAAATGCAAAAACAACAGTAAGAAATCAACAAAGCAGAACACTTTAGATTTCTCACAAAAGAACAAAATTTTCAACAAAAGAAAATGTTTTTAAAAAAATTATATAAATAAGACATATCTACAGATACAAACTGAAATCAATAAATGATTCACTCATTTACCACTTTTCGTCCACAGCAAGAAATAAATAAAAAAAGCATTTACATCAAATCGAGCCTTTCACTCAAATAATTAGAGTGATGAACAGTCGGACTGTGGTTATATCTCTAATATTACTATTGTTCCTGCACTGGATAGCAGCCTTAAGAAATGAACACTCTTCTCACAGTTAATTCATTTTCTTTGGAAACACACTCATGCCATCCTGTCTCACCATTCTTTATATTCAGTTCATATTTACTCCTCAAAAGTTCAAGGAATAACCATTTCTGGTACGTTATCACTTCTCATAAAACCCATTTCTTGAATTTATTTCCTTTCACTTCAAGCGTAGAACTCTCTATTTGAATTTTTTGTGTAAGAATTGACAGTTGGTGATCTTTTTGGTTCATCCAGCGCATACGAACCTTCATCCTTCTTACGCATTCGGTAAACAATGAACATCACAACCAGGATAGCACAAAGCAGGCCAACAACAGCACCACCAATCACAGCTAAAAAGAAGCAGATCATAAGTAAAATATAATGAACAACAATACATCTCAATTATTATTTAAATGACAATATATACTGCTTTTTTTATTTTGCTTACCTGCCAAAATGCCAGGCTGAGCAAAGAATGATGTAGCTCTTTCGTCGTGCTTTCGGTTCATGCTTGGGTATTTGTCAACTGGATCTTCAGGTGGAGGTGGAGTCTGAGTTATAGTTGTATCTGGAGGAGGCGGTGCAGGTGGAGCAGACTGAGAAGAAAAACAATAATAATATTAGCCAAAAGAATTAGTGTATTTGCTGCATACAATTATTTAATTGTTTTTAATATAAAATAAGACAACTAACAAATTTTAACTTAAATCTTTTGTTATTTAATTAAAGTTTGTTTGCTTATTTTAACCCCTGGTTTGTCAGAAAAGGTAAGAGTTTAGAAATGTTATGTCTACAATTTTACACGTTTCAAATATTAAAATAAATATTGCCAGAAAATGTTTTTGGTAACAAAAAATATGTTGAGGGAAAATTGTGTACTTTACAAATAAAATAAATGTGCAACCTTATCAATGACACAACCTAACACTTCATTTTACCTTTCATCTCATTTTATTCAATTCTACTAAAAAAAAAATATTCATTGTAATATAAAACTACTTTTCATAAAACACTTTTCAAACTACACTACTTTTCATAAAATGCACAGTTTGGCAACAACAATCTTTACACCAAAATAATATTATGTTGATAATTTTGATTTTGTTTAATTTATATTGTTTGTAGTTATTAATTTTCATTTCATACATTCTTTGCATGGGCTGCCTTTGCAAAGACAAGCCATTGCATATTTTTTTTAAATTTATTAGACGTTTATTTATGTCTTCCTTTATCATCTGTATTTCTGCAAAATGTTAAAGGGAAAAAATAACATTTTTGAATAAAGACAATCAGACTAGATCATGATAAACCTTGACTTGTATAAAAAGTATTCTTTCCATAGAGTATTTAAGATTTACCTCCTTTCTAATTGTTGTTTCTTCAACTGGTGTTTCAGGATAAGGATCTGCAAAAACACACTTTATTAGTGAAAAATATTATTTGTAATTACTTATGGCTATTCATTCAATAACAAATACATGTGAAAGCAAGATGGAAGCAGATTTTCAGTATGTTTTTCAACTGTCAAATACAAATTGTTGCATTAACACAAGAGCTATTGCAGTAATTTGTGTACTAATGATTGCTTAGAAAGAGGGCTTGCTGAATTCACCTGATCCTATGTTGTCTTCATCATCAGTGGGACCATTACCAGATCCACTCGATTCTAAGTCGTCTCGAACTTCTCCTTTACCGCCTCCGGATCCCTCCAAATCGTCATCATCAATATAGATTTCATCTCTCGGCCAGTCTCGTTTGGGCTGCAACAAACATTAATGTATTTAAATCACACCCTTTACGTTTTTCATTATGCTAGGTACCAAGATACAGGTCTGTCGCATCACTATCAATTCACAATACGACAATTTTACACGCAGGGTTCTGCATTTCTTTATAACCATATTGTGCCATATTGTGCTTAAAAAAATCCGCAACAAACCAATGCTTTTGGGACGGCTAACGCATCAAACGATTGACAATTCGCCTCCAAACGAGCGTCGACGGCGAAGCTCAGCTGTTTGGGGCCAGCTGGGGCTAACAACCGGCTCCGGATGCTGTGGGGTGAATCAATAACCCGGTGCGACTGGGCAGGGCTACCACACCCCGTGGCGTGGTTGCACGTCGTCTCCAGCACTATACACATTCACGCGTGCGGGTGGGTGGGCGGTTGGGCGGGCGTGGCGAACGCGGAAGATTCAAGGGGCTCGTCGCCCGTCCTTCGGCAGTGGCGGGACGGCTGGTGCCTGGACCTTCTCCCGAAACCTCGTTGAAAAAAATCGATACAATTTGCAACCAACCCCAAATAAGACTGCACTTAAATTAGAATGAGGCGATTGCGCACAAATAACTCGTGAGTCAGTGATTCTTACGATGTGTTCTGGGACTCACCATTAGCAAAGTTCTATGGTTGGTCAGGCAGAATTTTCTCACAGGAACAAAACCTTCACTAGAGGAAAATTATCCAATAGTAAGCTATTGAATACTGCTATTGAACAAGTCTGTGACCCTCCACCCTACTCCTCTGCCAAATCGAATTTTTAGAAATAAATATAAGACGAGTCTCAAATCGGTTTTGGAAAATTACATTTAAATATTATGGCATTTGAAGATATCTGTTATCGAGCCAACACCAGAAACGCAGTCCACTGCGTCGCATGCGTTAAATTGTTACGTATAGATTCGAATATGAGCACGTGTTCAATTTGTGATAGTGGCGAAGAAGGTATAGATGCAAAAACCCCAAGCATCTCATGAAATCATACATAAACGTAACTCAGTAGGAATGTAAATTGAGAGAGAGGCCGACGAAACAGGTGTAAAATTACCATTAAATTTCGGAAAGGACGAGAGCAAATGTTAACCGAAGAGTCGCCGCGAAGGATTTCTATGGAACAACGTACCCATTCCGTCAGTTCACACCGAAATAACTTGCCTGCACAGGGTGAGGTTAACGCAAAGCCGAACTGCTTTACGATTATATTGATAAATAAATAGAGGTCAGGTATCCTGACAATATCTCTATTTATTTATCAAAATAAAAAAAGGTATCTACTTCACCAACAATCCAATTAATAATTACGATTATATATTTAACAACGCGTCCTTTGATATCTAACCGATAGGTATAGTCGCAGATTGATTATTTATTGTTTACGGGCGCGTCAACAACTATGTAGAGCAGGGTTATCGAACTGGCGGCCCGCGGTGCCAATTATTGTGGTCCACGAAAGGTTATTAGTTACAAGCGAAAGTCCCTTCCATCCATATTGGGCGAGAACATTGGGCACTTAGTGCTCACGCCCTGTAGGGGTCAACACCCCATTATTGTAAAAATCTGTTAAGTTTCAATTTAAGGATTCTTCCCCCTAGAGAATTCAAAAATTCAAAATCATCCTAATGTGTTTCACCGCGTTATGCATGATAGGTCTGATATCACACACAGTTCCATCCCCCCCATCACATATCACAGCAACCGGACAAAGCGACGAGATTAACAATACGGAGAAATCAAGAGTGGGTCGCCCGAGTAATGAAACTATGGCCCGCAACCATATTAAGGGCTTTAGGTGAGGCCCGTGCGGCCTTGGAAATTGGACATTCCTAATGTAGAGCATGTTCCATTTCGGGAGCTAGCGGTGTTCCTCCTTCGCTGGAACGCGATTTGCGGCGCAGACCTGTACGTCAAGTTGATTTTGTTTCAATCCTCCAGGTATCTCCCCCAGATGGGCAGTATGTGTAATAAGAGAGGGCGGGACAACAATGAGGAAGGAAAGATCACACACGGTTCGTGACCCGTTTGTTAGGATAGCTCATCGGCATTCGCTTGATGTTGATAGGACAAACTTCCCATCAGAGCAGCTAGAAGTCACCTCCAGACAGTGCTTAAATCCGACCTACATTTCCGCATTAATCACGTGGATCTTCCGCACTTCCACGTGGGAAGCGGGAGGACCCGAATTCGCGACAGAAGCTGCACACGGCCGACAAGGCCATCAGGACGCTGGAGAGCCGCACCGCGAACAACTTCTCTTCGGAAGCGACGCAGGTGTGTCGCCGTAATCCGGAGGGGCGGGGCGGGGGCGAGGGCCGCACCCGGCAGACGAGTAAAATTCACCCGCTAGCGCGCGCTGGCTAAGGGCCTGTGTCCACGCTTGTTCACGGCCGGGCCGCGGACGACTAGCACGACGAGGCTTACTCAAACTACCAATTTATTCTTTCTTTCTTTCTTTCTTTCTTTCTTTCTTTCTGGCATCTTTTTCCAGTTTCAGGGGATGTCGATTTCGACTATCCGCGTTACCCACAATGTCTCTCATGGAACACATATTAACCTTTTCTCCCTAAACATGCTTGCGAGCTCCTCTGTCTGATGAGGCTCACAGGGCCTTCAGCGACAAAACACATACATTAAAGACAAGGGACAAGCAACCATGCCCACGGCGGGACTCAAACTCGCGACCCTTCAGACCGAGTCGCTGAGTCGGCACACGCCCTGACCACCTCGGCTATCTAGGTCGGCCACAAACCGTCAGTCATTTGAACTCCCTTAATGAGAAGCAAATCCAGGAGGGCGTTTCCCTCATGACCCATCCCGTAAGAAACAGTCTTTAAAAAATGAGGAGGCCCATTCACAATGCAAACATAAACATAAGCATGGCGTTAACATAAAAGTAAGGACTACGTTCATAAGCGGACTCATTCACAATGCGTTCGCATAAGCATAACACGTAAGGCGTTAGCTTAAAAGCTTGCAAGCTTCAAGCTTCTGTACTTATGCTTCAGTAAGAGATAAGAAATGAACCAATCACAGTACGCTAACTCAAAATCGAGAACGGAAAGAGGAGTGAAGCCGATAGACGAACTAACGCCATATGGGCATAGTCGATACCACAAATCGATTCTCACATCCAACCAATGGTAAACTATAATATCTCACAGCGTTGCTTATGTTTATGTTAGACATTGTGAATACCGTGGTGTCGCTGGTGTAAATGTTTAAGTCTATGCGTTATGCGTATGTTTACGTTTGTTTTTGTGAATAGGACATTTGCGTGTAAAACGCGACAACTCACGCGGGAAGGTTGTAAGAGATATAAACAAGTGGACAGTTTGGTTTAAGGGTCATAAGTGTAATAGGACCACCTGCTCTCGAGTTCTTCAATTTAACTAACTGAGAATCATATTGCAATTAGACAGCAATGGCACAAGCAAACAATATCACAAAAACTATATTTTTTAGGATTATCTTTTTTATGTCCGAGCACGACAAAAACGCTACAATATACAGAGTGATTCAAAAATATTTTAACAAACTTGGGGCATGGGTTCCTTAACAGGAAGAGAAAACGTTCTTATGAACATGCGTCCCACAATACTTAGTTTTCTAATTTTCTAATTATTTTATTAATGAGAGTTTACGCTCAACGACCTTCCAGTTTCAACCCCTCAGCTTATCCATCCATTTATTTTGTATATGTAGTGAGTTGATCGCAAGTGTTTCGTACAACCATGATAGAATATTCTTTTTGTGCGCTGGCAGATACGATTTTTAAGTACAGCTGCGGGAATGGTAATGGACGCGAGCCTGTACAGCTGTATCAGATGGCGTTTTCAGACCAAAGACAGCCAATTCATTCAACCTTTGGCGCCGTTTATCATCGCGTTGCTGAGGCAGGTGAACTTGCACCACACACTATTGATTGAGGAAGACCAAGAGCTGCTCATAGTCCCAGAATATGTACCCTCACTCCTTTGCCAACATTGGTTGAATGATGAATAAATTATAGAAACGAGCGTTATAGACAAAATCTGATAACCAGAAATGTTCGCTCTCGTATAATGAAACTATTTTGCATCGAAAAACGAACTACAAATATGACATAAAATTATTTTTGTCAAAATATTCCAACTCCCACTCCACTCGCAACTAGCGAAACGAGGGCTAAAGAAAATATGCGCAGATAATACCAGGCCAAGACAATTGGCAGTGGCATATGGTACACCTCAAAATACAGCATCGAGGCTATTTCACGAGCAGCACCAGTATCATCTTCAACGTCTGTAGGGCCTTTCGCTTGCCTATAACCCACCACGGGAGAACTCTTGCCTATGGTTTTCAAGCACAAACATTCAATCCATTGTTTGTATCGGCAGTTTTGTTTACAGATGAGGCAACGTTTGGAAGAGATGGAATTACAAAGTTCCACAACCAACACATGAGATCGTAATTTTCACTATAGTTCAAGAGTAATGGGTGGGCTGGAATTGTAGGTGACTGTCTGGTAGGACCATACGTTCTCCTAGCACGTCTTACGAGTGCTGTCTACAAGGACTTTAATTCAAAACACTTTCTACTCGAAGATGTGCCCCTGAAAATAAGAAAACTTGTGGTTTATGGTTGATGGGGCTCCAGCACATTTTAGTCCCATTGTTCGAGATGCACTGGCTGGCATCTAGCATGACAGATGGATAGGTAGAGGAGGACCAGTTGCATGGCCTGCACGTTCTCCCGACCTCAATCCGTTGCAGTTTAATATTTGGGGGCACCTTAAACAATTAGTTTATACAACAGACATCCCAGATGAAGAAACTCTTGATACACGTCTTTTAAAAACCTGCGAAATCATACGTCACAACCATCCGGGAATATTTAAAAGGGTGCAGTCTATGATTCGACGAGTGCATGCGCATCTAGAAACTAGAGGAGGGTATTTCGCGTGTTACGTGTTTACGAGTTGTTATTAATGTTAGTTATTATGTTATATGTTACGAGATTTGTTATGTGTTTTATGTATTTACGAGTTGTTATGATTATTCATAAATAAATTAATAACGAGAAAATAAAGGAAATGTGTTAATTTTAATTTTCTGTCTTCGTTTTGTGTAAGAACGCCATTTCCGAAATTGGTAAAGGTATTTTCGAATTACCCTGTAAAAACATTATGAATCACCTTCAAAACTATCCAAGGGGGCAGAGAGGTGTGGAAATGGAGGGAGAGTAGGAAGAAAAGGAGAACGAGGACACCGGGATAGAGATGTAACATCTGATACAAAGGGACTTGTCTTGTTTTGCTCTTGTCTTACCTTGTCTTGCTCGCAGAATCTCTTAGGGAAATTTTCCAATTATATTTTTAAGTTCGAGACAAG